GTAGGAAAAGGGAGGGGGCACTGATGTCAGGGGGTCCCTCCTCCCCCCACTTTCATACTCTATCTCCACACAGGGAGAAGAGGATGTGGGAGCTTGGCAAATCTGTCTCACACTCACCTCTTGACCCAACACATACGTGGGGCGTGGTTGTCATTTTTTACTGCTTGCAAAGTGGGTTAGTTGGGGTTTTTGATTGGTCTGTGCATTTCATCATTTTCATTTCTCCCTTATGCTTAAATTTAATTCTTTGAGTAGGGAATTCTCAAATGCCAAACCTGTCGTGGCTGGAGTCATTATCCCTGTGGTAACTGTTACTCCTGGAAGTGGCTGGCATGTCCTGCAGCCCCTGAGAAAGGCAAAGCAAGGGGTCTCCACATGTTGTCCTTGCCTGCAGACACCATTCCTGCAGTTCCCATTGATCAATAATGGGGAACCGTGGCCAGCAGAAGCTGTGGGCTCAGTGCCTTAGGTGAGGGGCAACACATGGCACCATGGAGCCACTGCTGTACATGCCAGCTGCTTTCAGGAGTGGGGCAGGACCAGGGCAGGAGTAAGCCTGCCTTAACCCCACTGCTCTACCACCCTGAAGCAGTTTTAGTTAAATGGTGCCCAGCTACAGCCTGCTTCCTGAGCACCTGTCCCAGCCCTGAACCTCCTCCTGCACCCAACCTTTCCCAGAGCTTGCACTCTAAACCCCCTCCTGGATCCCAGACCCTCACCCGGGGCTAAGCCCAGAGTCCCTCCCACATTCCAAACCTCTTGGCCCAAGACCAAAGCCTGCACCCCAACTCTCTACCCCAGCCTATTGAAAGTGAGTGGAAAATAGGAGAGGAAAGAGGGAGCAGGGTGAGGCCTCTGAGAAAAGGCAGGAAGGAAGTGGGATAAGGGTGTTTGGGTTGGAGGTAGATCTTAGGTTGCACTTAGATTTAAAAAGCGATCTTGTGGTTAAAAAGGTAGGATACCACCACCCAAGGCTTATCAAATAGTCAACTAATAGCTTATATCCCAATGACACGAGAGGGATAGCTTGAGGATTACTTGTTCTGTTCACTCCCTATGGGGCATCTGGCATTGGCCATAGTCGAAAGACAGGATACTGAGCTTAGATGGACCTTTGGGGTGTGTCTAAACTACATGGCTCCATCGATGGAGCCATGTAGTTTAGACACACCCCAAAGGTCCATCTAAGCTCAGTATCCTGTCTTTCGACTATGGCCAATGCCAGATGCCCCATAGGGAGTGAACAGAACAAGTAATCCTCAAGCTATCCCTCTCGTGTCATTGGGATATAAGCTATTAGTTGACTATTTGATAAGCCTTGGGTGGTGGTATCCTACCTTTTTAACCACAAGATCGCTTTTTAAATCTAAGTGCAACCTAAGATCTACCTCCAACCCAAACACCCTTATCCCACTTCCTTCCTGCCTTTTCTCAGAGGCCTCACCCTGCTCCCTCTTTCCTCTCCTATTTTCCACTCACTTTCAATAGGCTGGGGTAGAGAGTTGGGGTGCAGGCTTTGGTCTTGGGCCAAGAGGTTTGGAATGTGGGAGGGACTCTGGGCTTACAAACATAAGAATGGCCATACTGCGCCAGACCAATCTAGTGCTGTCTGCACCAGGGGTTAGGTCAGTTTAACTATCAATCCGGGGTTGGATTTTACAAACTCCTGAGCAATCAAGTGACATCCACCTCATCTCCTAATGCAGACCAAACCTCAGAACAACACAGCTAAATAAAAAGGGGAAATATATTGTTTAATATAAGTGGGTAACATTTTAAGGGACCATTCAAGGCAAAAGGGCACATTAACACCTTTGCCATCATAAGGCAAAAGCAGGGGGGGGAGAGTGGGTTAGTTTGATTTTAAAAGCCATGAATCCAGTGTCTTAAGACCATAATTTTTAATGTCTAGAAACATCATGAGTTCAAGCTTTGACTCCTCTTTTGAAGGATTTCTGTAGGTTTCCTTTGAGCACAGTTACTGAGATCAGATGTGGCATGATCATTTTGTGACATGCGTTCACCCACAGATGATATGATGGCGTTTTCATTTTTCATCATGAGGTCATTCAAGACCAAAATGATTGCCTTTCACCCACGCTGCTGTTTTTGGAGCATTTAGTGCACTGGATGAGGTATACCAGTTGTTGTGATAGGCACAAGAAGGACCCATGGGTCTTAAAGGGTGTTTTGCAGGGGGTATTGAGCTTTGTGACAGTGGAGATGTCTGCAGATTCTTCTGTCAGAGTCTGGTGCTTCTTTGAGTTGGTGTGCCTTGATCTATGGCTTCTGATGAGCTTGCTGAGGCTGGAGGGCTATTTGAAGGCCAAAAGAGAGGATTCAGGAAATATTTCTTTCCCAGGCCCAAAGAATAGCTCTATCTCAAAAGCCTGTCTCTTTCACCAACAGAAGTTGGTCATTCATAAATAAATAGGCAGACAGTCTCAGCCACACTGTGTGTCTAATATACCAGGACCAACATAACTACAACCAATTATGTTAATCATGTTACAATGCTCATTTTAACATTTGCTTCTGTTTGTTTTGGTAGTTAAAGTGTATTGAGAGAAAAATTCTATTATCCACACAACCTTGAGAAATCATCAAGTCTGTAATTATCCAGATTTAGTCTACTCAGCACTAACCTTCCAAAGGCATGCAGAGTTTGGATGGTCAGAAGAAGGGAAGACTATTAAAGCTTCTAAAGTTTCTTCTACACTAGCCACATTTTTTAAAAAGTTCCCGAACACCACAAATGTCAGTTCAGTTCTAAAGTTTCTCAATTTTGGCTACAGCTACACTGTAGCCTTCTTGTGGAAAAGCTTATGCAAATGAAGTGCAGCATGGAATATCACCGCGCTTCATTTGCATAATTAATTAGCAGCCGCTTTTGTGCAAGAGGCTTTTACGCAAATGGAGCTGTGTAGATGGCTCCTTTTTGCGCAAAAAAACCCTTTTCCACAAGAGCCCTTCTTCCTGAAAAAATGAGGAAGAATGGCTCTTGCGCAAGAGGGGGGTTTTGTGCAAAAAAAGGAGCCACCTACACAGCTCCTCTTTGCGCAAAAGTAGCTGCTAATTAATTATACAAATGAAGCACAGCGATATTCCATGCTGCACTTCATTGCATAAGCTTTTCCGCAAGAAGGCTACAGTGTAGCCGTAGTCTTAGCGTCATCATAACACACACAGATGATGATTATGAGGGCTTGATGAACTGCAGCAAAAATTGCTTGCCAGACGCATACTGCGCATGCGCAAGAGCCGCATTGCGCATGCACGCACCGCAAATGAATGGGGCACGCGGCTGAAACCTACTCTTGTAATATTTGTCGAGCCCTGATGATTATGAAGCCTTGTATCTTGAGTAATTTTTTGGAGAGCTAGTGCCATCACCACTCCCAGTGAGCAGATGTTAGGTGACAGCATACTATTAGAGTCCACTGCTACATTAGAAGACACTGCTACATTAGGAGACACTTCTTTCCTTAACCATAAAGGAAGATATAATTTTGATGCAAACAATTACATTCCAGACAGAGCAGCTTCCCACAATCAATGTGAACATAATATGTTAAACAGGGTTTATTAATCTTCACAGTTAAAACTTCAATAAATTTTAAAATGACATTCAACTATGTAGTGATTTTAGTCACTAGTGCCTGCCTCTGAGCTTACACATTCCATTAGAGACAGAATTATATAGTATGTGTCACAGCCCAGATTTCCAAGATCGTGGTGAAAAAATGCTATACACCCACCCACCTGTACAAATAAAGTCAATACTGTATCAAGCTTACATTTTGTTACTGCTTAGTAATAGTCACACATTCCAAAATATGCCTCTCTCAACAGCTGCAAAAATGATGCCATGACAACATTTCTGGTCAATGGAATATTTTTGCCATTGGAGCTCAGCAGAAAGATAGCTATGAGAATAAAAGCATCATGCACACACAATAGAACAGTGAATTATTCTCCAATTATTCAACTCAGATTTATCATCACAGCTGCTAGTTTGAAGGCATAAAATTCAGACTGCAGTCACAGAGGCTACTCCCTATTCTGAAGGAGATACTTCATCGTGACAGCAGGCTGTAACAGCACCCAGCAAGCAAGCAAGGAATAGGAATAGAGCCCCAGTATCTGATTCAGAACCCTCAGAAATATCAGGGACTGAGCTTTCCATCAGATGTTTTCTTGTGAGGAAACTCTATGTCTTTTGTATTTACCTTGGGCAGTTGGCAAAATCAGGAATCATTTTCAAAACCTAGGTATCTATGTTTTCAAGAATTAACAGGAGTGACATCTTTTATGTTATATACTGGCCTATATACCTGAAATCTGAAGTCTGAGCAAGTGATTCTAAGGGTACATCTATACAGCAGGGCTGAAGTCAAATTAAGCTATGCAACTTCAGCTACATCAATTGTGTAGTGAGTCAAAAAAGCTTAATTTGGCTTTTGGCTCTGTCTACACAGCTAGAAATTGAAGGAACTCTTCCTTCGATTTCCCTTATTCCTTGTGAAATGAGGGTTACCATAAGCCCGAGTAAGAAGTCCTCAAGCTCGACATTATTTCAAAATAAAGGCTTGTAGTGGATACATGCACTATGTTATTTAGGAATAACATAAGTTATTCCGAAATAACGCTGTTATGTAGACATACCCTAAGTGAAGTGAAAGGCCAGCAGAATGATAAATTAAGAAATACCTTATCTAGGTTTATTAAACTTCTCATTTGTTACTAAAAAAAAAGCTTAAAAGCAACAGATGAAGCAGAGTACATGTCCTAATATTCTAGACATGAGAATTTAACACAAGCACCCTTTTGGGTAGCAATCTGGAAGTCAAGGAGTTAAGCTGTGACACAGAAGAGTAAAACCACCTCAACTATGATTAAGAAGGGCACTCAAAAACCAAAGGTCAACATCAGAAAATATTTTCTGAGTCATGGGGGAGTCAACTTACTCATTACAGTGCGTTATGGACAGAACTGCTCACCATGTATTCATTAGGAAACCGTGGCCTTTCCTTTGAGGAAAGCAAAGGGGGGGAGGGAAGAGTCATACTTTCAGTTTTGTATGTAAGCCAGTAGGAGGCTGTATCTGTAACACCAATGCTCTCTCCTCCCACGGTCTTAATTAGTCTTGTAGGAAAACGGTGGTTTCACATAACCCTCCCTGGTTTCTTTTAACATCTTGACAAGCATCAGTTTGTCAGCTGAGCTATTATGCAAATTCAGTAGTCTGAAGAGATCCCAGTTTTCCTACAGTAAACAAAATAAGCAAAAGTCCTTTATAACAACAAAAATCACACCATCGTTAAATTGTTAACAGCCATTCACCATGAATATGAACATTTTAAATCAAATCCTTTTTTCATGGTACAAAACATTCTGCTAAGTGAGATGAAAAAAGGATGTAGTAACAAATAAATTGCAAATGTTGTCTAATACAATGTTAAGTCACACCACTGTGCCATCAAACAGCAGCTCCCCAACAGCTAAGCAGCTTTTGATACTGAAAATATGATTTTCCAGCACTCCTGTGGCTCTCAGAATTAATTAGTAAGGAGTGCTGTTTTCTCCTCATCCCCCACAAGTTTTATCTCATGATGTTGACTCAGACGTTGAAGCCCTAAAAAGCTTAAAATAAGGATGCTTCTAAATAAACAAATCTTTAAAGAAATACTAAGTCATACCACCTTGCCTCCTTAGATACTAAGAAGTGAGTCAGTGGTGAAACTAAGAAATGTTTTGCTGACGTCAAACAGAGCTGAGCTCTGAAACCACAACGGTACATACACCCTGCTGCCAACTAGAGTCTGAGCCAAGGAGGGAAATAAAGTCTACAGTTCAATACAGTACAATGTTAGTAGGCCAGCCACTGCAAAGAGAATTTCTTTCTAAAGCGTTACAGTTCTTAGTTGCAGTGACTGTAGTGGCAGGCTGTCCACAAAAATATTATGGAGTGTGATCTCTTCAACAGAGCTGCAGTACAAAATATTGATTAGTCACAGATGAAAGATTCACTTCTGTATCTCTGTAGGAAAAACAAGCAACCCAGAGAGGCCACCTTAATGACAGGATGGTCCACTTCTAAGGCATTTCTTAAATCCTATATGCAGATAAGCAACCTGCTCACTAAAAGAGCCTGGATATTTTGACATCTTAAACATACACATGCAACCTGGAAACACCTGGCTAAGTTTCCCCAGATAATTTCTTTATCCCTACACCTTACAAGTTTGTAACATTAAATTATGGTTTCCTTTTTTAAGCAAGGAAATTCAAACTAATATCACCAACCTAGTCCCCCTCTCCTGACTAAGCCTTAGCTTATGCAAAAAAAAAATTATATTTATTGCTATATATAATCAGCTTGGAGTGAGTAGGTGATAACAAGCATGAAACTAAACTGGTCGCTATTACACTTTCAGTTTCTGTCATTTCAAGTGCAGCAGGAGCACATGACAGAACTGCCCTAACAGGAAAGGTTGCATTAAGTAGTGAGTGCTGAGGGGCTCAAGGTCTGGAGCGGGATGATCAAAAATAGCAAGTCCTTGTATATGCAGGATGTTTTGGAAGCCACAGCCACATCCAACAGCACTAAAAATCAGAAAGTATGTAGTGGTCTTCCCTGTCACAAGCAAGACAGTATATAAGGGCAGGGCATCAGCATTACCAAGTTCCTTAGATTAGCTATCTTAGTAGCATGTCCTCCTTGTGATGTGAGACAAAAACAACAAAATACTACAAAGAATGAAAAACAACAGTTGCACCGAAATCAGTTTTTAGAAGACTACTGCCTGTCTTTCCCTTTGCAAACCAATTTGCACCCTGTGTTTTTACATGGCAGGGGATAAATATTTGATGTAAAGGCTAGATCAATTTTCCACTGACATCTAAGCATATGTAAGTAAACAAATAGTTAAGTTTCTCCTTAGTGAGGCTTTGCTAATTTGAACACAGATGCTCATTTTAAGGGATCACATATCTAACACTTTGATTCAAGACAGACAGAAAAGTCAAATTTGTGGATTATTTAAACACACAAATGTGATAGGGAAATCAGTACCATATTCATGGGGTGCGGATTATAATGTATAGTCAACAGAAACATTGACTTGGAACTTGACAAAAAAAAGGAACACGAATGTTCATTTTAACAAAAAAAAAAAATCAAGGAAAGCTGCAACTGAACAACCACACACAAATTCCAAAACCCTACCTTTCCTACCGGGAATTAAGATTTCTCTCCCCCTTCCCCTATACCCATAACCTCCTTCTGCAACCCGGACAGAGCACTTCAGACACACGTCCCCACCAGAAAGAAGAGCCTAGATTATATGTTCACATTTGTAAAATTACAAATCCTTTTGATCCTAGTCTGAAACAATTTAACAAAAGTGGGTCTTTATTAACCTGTCAAAGGAACTAAAGGGCTCATCAAGAATGTAATTTTTTCTATTAGCTGTCCTCTGACCACACTCCCCTTATCTGAGAAGGCCCACCAATTTTAGAGGTCAAATCCCCAAGAAACAGGACCCTGAGTTAAGCAAACTTTAAGAACCTACCTCCTTGCTATATTTCATCCTATAGTTATTTTTACTACAGTAATTCAAATGCTACAAGTTTGTACAGTCCCTACATCCCCTGCCATCGAAAGAAAAAAAAATAAAGTGACAAAATATCCAGTCCAAATCTGGGCTGAATAGAGAAAAGTGGCTAGGGAGAATAGAGTAAGGTGGGTAAGAAGCAGGGTGCCAGCTTGAAGAAAGGAAATTATAGAAAAATAATCCCAAATAGCATTACAGGATTTATTTATAGAAAGGAATTATTTGCTTGGGTTGGGAGTCTAAAGGAAATGGGATTATTTGAGGGCAAATAGGGAATCCACGGACTAGAAAGGTGGTGCTGGCTTGTTGAGGATAGGGGTGTCTGCTGGATGGCAACTGACAGGCAATAACCAGTGATGAAGGTTAGGAAACGGGTTGGATAAAACAGTATCTTTTATTGAAAGGATGATTATTCAGGACATGGAACAGAATGACTGGGAAACAGGGACAGACTACTGAGGATTGGGGTGGGGGCAGCAAGGCATCCAAGTGGATTTCAGGGGAATTGTTTGGGGACAGAGAAAGACACACAAGAAGGAATAAAATAAGGGAATCTGTGGCAGAAATGGGAACTACTTGGGCCTGGCACTACTCAAGGCTGCCTGGAGTGGAGAGGTGTTTTAGGCAGGGACTGTTTAGATAGAGTGAGGACAAGGGTTTGCTTTGGGAGACAGAGAAGCAGAGCTACCAGGGACAAGGAGTGTTTGGAGAGGAAGGGACAACCACCTATGGATGACAACCCATGGGTGTCAGGCTAGGAGAGAGCCTGAAGGCAAGGGGGAACTGGACAGGGGGCATCCAAGAACGGAGTTTTCTAATGGTGAGTGGGGTAACCAGGGAAAGAAGAACATTCAAGCAGGGGGAATCTGGTGAAGGTGGTGCCAGAAGGAGGGGAATTTGATAGGAAACAGGGAAGAGGGTCTGGGACAGGGCAGTGGCCAAACCAGGGGGACAGGGAGTGAGGAGGTACCAGAGAAAAGGAGAGCCTGATGGGGACTGGCCAAGGCACAGGAGGATCTGCAAGGAAGGGAGCAGGAGTAAAGTAGGAGTAGGGGGCATCCAGAGCAGAGAC